GCCCCCAATGGTTGAAAGGCCCATCATTGACCCCCATGTGATCATAGTCAAGGTTATGTTTCGATACAGACATAATAGGCCTCATACATGATCTGTGTTTTTGTCTTGGTTTTTGCAAAAATGGTTGCCTCATCGTCACATGTGTATTAGAGAGTTTAAGTTCGAATTCCAATACCAACATGTCATGCGCATGCTCTCTGCTCACAAGAAGCACAAGGACAAGTGTATTGGAAGTCACCACTACCGAAGTCGGCCTTGTATTGGAAGTCGTGGGAAATTAATGTTGTAAGGTAAACTCAAATAAATCGGATATTTCATAATTTTTACGATAAACACGTACACATAAACTATTTGTTTATTGGCATCGTCTGAGTCATGTTTTAGTCGGAATTTTAGCTCAGCCGTCGCACATTTTCGGTGACGATTAATGTGTTCTATACTTTATCAGTTGTGATAGCTTAACGCTTTATGAGAACGGAAGAGAAGGTATCGGTATTGGAAGTCGAACTTAAACTCTCTATTGTTTTCTTGGGGTATGACTTAAGGGAGAGTTACCAACCGGCGAGTTATGATTTCGGCGAGTTATGATTTCGGGGAGTTATATTCAAACCACGCCCACTTTTCTCAACAATCACACCCAATTTTTTAACTCTCCCGATGTTTCATTGAACTAACATATGAGAGTTATGTTTGACGCAACTCTCTCTCTCGTTAACGTTACGAAGATGTTAGAGAGTTATCATTTTTTATAACTCGATCTCCGCATTCACGATTATGGCAATGAATAGAGTTTAAGTCAGTTTTTTTAAAAAAAACCTTAGTTAGTAAAGCTTGTTTCTTCAGATTTTCATCTTATTTTTTTGGTATTTCAATTTGTAGCGTGTGAATAGGAAATGCAACTTGATTCAGTCAAAGGGCCAAAGTACCCCCAGAAGCATGTGTTGACATGTATTTGGCAGTAAATACGGCAAGCATAGTTGCAAGAAAATTAAGAAAATTGAATCTTTCAGCAATTCAGGTTTTGGAAATACTTTCCCGGATCAGCCAATATGGCATTACATTGGTTTTGCTAGATAATCCAAGTGAGCATGTATATTTATATAAACATTTACATACATATAGATGAATTTGGTAAGTACTAAAGTACTATTAGTTTCTACTAGCATAAAATGTCGACACTTGAGATTGAGAAAAAAGTAAATTTACAAAAATGTACTAATATGTGGAAGGTTTTCTCAAAAAACTGACTTAACTCTCTTCATTGCCACAATCATGAACGCAGAGAGTTATAAAAATGACAACTTTTTAACATCTTCATAATGTTAACGAGAGAGAGTTGTGTCAAACATAACTCTCTCATGTTAGTTCAAGGAAACGTCGGGAGTTAAGAAATTGGGTGTGGTCATTGGGAAAAGTGGGCGTGGTTTGAACATAACTCTCCGAAATCATAACTCTCTGAGATAACTCTCCACTTCATAAGCCGGTCCCGTTTTCTTGCTCAACCAACCAATAGTAGCGTGTTGGTTTAATTACCCAGTTGTGATATTACACAACAGTTAAATGAAAACATACTGCCATTTGCGTTCAAGCTTGAAGTGTGCAAATTTTTTCACGTTTGTTTATGTTTTAAACACGATGTTCCAGGGGTTAATCACACCCTTTTGACCAATGAAAGTGATCATTTGAACAATGCAACAGTTATTATTGATCGTTACATAATATGTCATGTTTTGTTTGAATTGCAATGACGTTTGTACATTTTTGAGCTGTAAATCAGCTAAAATTCAGCTACAAAATGTAAATAATTGATTGCAATTTGATTTAGAATCACGAGAATACAAGAATAAAAGTATATTCTTGCTTCCACAATCAATAGTTTTATATTTTCAAACGATTCAATTTTATCGGCCAAACGGGCGTGATATCCTTTGAAACGTTACGTTTGAAACGTAAAAAACCTGAAAATTTTTGCACGCTTCAACCTTGAACACAAATGGCAGTAGCTTTTGGTTGCTTTAGCAAAAATACAATAAATACACATGTGACAATGAACGATCATTTCTTGCATAAACCAAGACAAAAACATGTAGATAATGAAATCCATTATGTCTGCATCAAGTTTCCTAACTTTCTTATTCTATTGCCCATGTGAACAGTCTTTACAACTACATAAGCCACGTGGGCAAAGCCTGCAAAGGCATACCGTAAACCTCCGACTATAAGCCTCAGGTTTATATTCTTTTGTAAGCGATTTTTGATGGGATTATACAAGGGGGGGGGGGGGC